ACTCTTCTTTATACAAAATGTACGGTATAATTGTCGTGTGATAGTAGAAACGATAACAACAAGACAAGATGACAAAAATGCAGGGTAACATAAAAGGTTAAATGAACAGGAATGATGAAGAAGTCTGCTTTCTTGTTTTTGTTCAGAATCATTTTGTAGGCATTCAGAGTAAAGCATTTAAGATCATAGTAAATTTCAACTGCAGAGGAACAGCAACAGAGTTTTAAACTCATATTGTTATCTCATACTGTACATGTAATAGCATTTTTGGCTCAAAATGACTTAAAGGGGAAGTCCACCCTGAAATTAAGTTAGTTTTAATAGGAGGAGAAAAATGAGAGAAACAAGTCAGTGAAAGTTTGAGCAAATTCCGATTAAAAATAAGGAAGTTAGGATTTTTGAAGTTGTGATCAATCAAACACAAATTGGCAACTCTATGACGTATCATGCGAGCTCAACTTTCATTTGCTCAGTACTAAAAAAATCTAAAATTTTCATTTTCCCTCAAGAAAAATTTCAAAAATACATGCACCCTAAATATAATAATTGCAAATATGTTTCTATACTCCCCCTGCAAGGAAAAAATATATATTCCGTCATCAATAACGAAGAAAACATGATTTTATGGAATATTATGCACAAAGCAAATGAAGGAGAGCTCGTATAATAAGTCACAGAGTTGCCAATTTGTATTTGATTGATCACAACTTCAATAATTCATAACTTTCTTATTTTCATTCAGAATTTGCTCAAACTTTCACTCACCTGATTTTCTTATTATTCTGCCTCTATCGAAACAAACTTATTTTGGGGGTGGACTTTCCCTTTAACTTACATAAAGTATAGCAGAACTGTGTTACTTTTTTGAAAGGTTTTAAGTAATTTTAATCAAAACCTGCATTTACATGTACACTCTGCAAGCAAAAAATATTGTTTTTTCTCACATGTGGATGTTTTTTTGAAGCAACTGCTCATAAACACAATGTAAAACCCAAATTATAGTTTGTTATTTCGTAATGTCTGGAAACTCTGGATTAAAGTGCTCAATCTGCATACATATCGAAAAGCAGATTGTAGGAGTAGTTGAAGCATTTTTAAAGGTCAGAAAACAATTACTGCATTATTAAACCAAATGCCATTACAGAGTTGTGCCATAAAAGGTTGTATAATCTGTTGAGCGCATTTGCATAGATCTCTCTTAAATGCCGTAATGGCCAGAAGACATGTACATGTAGCCTACAATCCAGGCTTCCATCATTAATTTATTGATTATAGTATCAGTTTTCTTTGCATATTGTGCCAATTAGTGGCAGATTCAGGATTTTGTAAAATAGAGGCACAGTGTCCTGAAATTAACTGACAAGCTATAGAAAAACAAGGTGAGGGAGCAACAGGTTTTTCAGTGCCTTTTCGATCCCAGACAAGAAAGAAAAAAGAGGGGGGATCATCACGCTCATGACCTTTAAGGCTTGTTCTGATATGATGTGGAGAAACCGCTTTTTTATGATGACATAAAGCGTAATGCGCTTCATATTTCTATACCTTATAACACAGAGATCAGTACAGAGAAAATATACTCAAGACCTTTGTTGCAGTCAGTTGCTGTTCAGTGGTGCTTTTTTTGTGGCGGTTACTGCGCTACTTCTGAACATGCCTTTAGATCCGCAATGTCCTCTCTAAACCTATAATTGAGAGATCCATCGATAGCAAGCAGAGGGAAAGGTGATATAAATGTTTCCTCGTAAAGGAATTACAAACCGTTGTCATTGTGCCTTGCTGTTATAAGCTTCCTACTAAAAATCTGAAGATTGAATATCTAGGCTCATTCCCTGGAGAGCATGCATCCGCTGATTTGCCAACAAGGTTCATCATTCATTTCAGATTCTATTCCCTGCCAGATCCATAATATTATCATTCCGCTTTCACGCCTCGCGCCAATAATATCACCTTCTACCACAGGGGAGTTGTTGTGGCATCATCGCCTTAACATCCTTGGGCAAATTTGCCTCACTGGGTCGATTGAATGCATCGGCAAGCAGCGTTGTTAGATCACGCTGGATAGAGATAAACAGCATAATTTTGTACCAGTGGGACTATTGGGTGTCTGCTGAGCATCAGACCTTCTGAAAAGATGCGATAAATCAATGCCTCTGTGTACTTAAACACATTACATGATTGGAAGAAATCAATTGAGAATTTCTTTTTCCAGTGCAGATGAATATTGTGCGTAAAAGACTTTTAATTGATGGGGACCCCTCCCGGTTTACTGACATTTATGGGCATTTCCTGGAGACAAAGCGACAAGTTATTCCATTAAAAAAACTACAATACTCTGAATCCAGTTTGTATACATTTATACAAATGTACTTGTTGCTATGTAGGGCAATTCTTGGGCAAGCTTTTAGGCTGTCAAGAACAAGCTTGTTTAAAAATATGTTTGTAAACTGGTCTATTTTCAAGCCTTTATGGTAAAACCGGACGATAGTATGGGGAGTAATATGTAACCGGAGCTGGAAAGCTAATGCAACAGATAAAAGATAGGCTTTGGTATTCAGGGAATTTCTTCCTACCCGGTATCCATTTACCTCACCTGGGTGGAGACTGGAGAGTGGCAAATAAAGATTAATATCTTGGGTCCAGAAACATAAAACTAGTCACACTCACACACTGTATCCTATTTCTTCTTGTGACTTTAGAGTTTTAAATGTGCAAATTAGAGTTGTGTTTTTTTATTGAGGATGATTTCCAGCAAGTTTGTGTGAGTTTTTTTTTATTTTACTGGTTCAAACAATCATTCTGCTGCATGATAAACAATCCAGAATGAATTATAGCCATGTTCCCTCGACATGCAATTTTTAAACCAGAGCTCAAGATTATAGCTTTCAGCAGAGCTCCACCTCCTCTATTTAATGATGTAAAGAAAGGTTACTTCATTTGAGGCCTTCCTACCTGTTACGATATCAACGCACTTGATGTTTATCGGCTGAGATTGTCGCCTTCGAATCGAGAAACGCCGCGGGCCATCCGCTTCTGTCGCACCGGTCGGATCGTGAGCAAGACGCACTTTCAGCTTAGGACGTGACTTGATTGGATGTATATTGCGCCCCCAGGGGTTTCATGTGATGCAATTTTTGGATGCGCTGCCCGACTTGGTTGCTAGCTGCTAGTGGGAAATTTGAGATGAGGTCTTAGCAACCCCAATCGCATTCAGTGCCAGCAAAGTGTGAGGCTGTGAGGATAGGTTTTTTGTGTTATAAGGAGCATTCACTTTCATGGGCAATTTATAAAATATAATCTGTAGTTTTTTCCATTTTATTGAATCTTGTAAATATGTGATTCTCATGTTTTGCTGTAATAAAATATACAAAGAAAATATATGTGTATGCATGTGAAGAATGTCCATAGGCCATTCTCGTATTGTAACCAAATTTAATTCATATACGCTTTTGGGAAGTAGTGCCTCGATACAAATTGTTTCATTCACCTGTTACAAATAATATTGTATGATATATAATAATTGTACAATAATATCTCAATAATCAGAAAGTGAATTGCATGCAGTATTTATTCCTAGTTCAGGACAAACATCATGTCTTGCCCTACCTAACAACACATACAATGTATATGGAGTTTGCGTTCTGACTATTGAAATAGTCTAGTTTCTATGTATACAGGTTTCATTCCCATGTACATAGCTGTATGACAATTTTGACTAGACCAATGTGAATTATTGTTAAAGGGAATGACAGTTGTACTTGCAACATGCCTGTAATGTTAAGAATGGATTTATTCATTGCCTGTCAGAATGATTTATGTGTTGGAATCAATTTACATGATAAGATTCATAGCATGCCTTTATATTCAAGGAGACCTTTTTCTTCATGCCTGAAAAGTAATTGATGCTCCTGCTAGAGTCACTGACATTTCACTAGGCGCGTCTTCATCATCTCGAGATTGCCAAATAGCCCGCTATTTGGGAAATAATCCCGAAGTAACAAATCGCATCTTCACTATCTCGAGATTCGACCTCGAAACTCGAAACTCGACCTTGAGAAATTTGCTCGAGATATTTTGCTCAGCGTTAGCGTGTATTGCGAATCTTCGGTCTAGTGAAGACGCACGGGACAAATAGCTGGATATTTTGCCAATAAAAAGGATATTTTGCAAACTATCCCAAGATATCTTGGGATATTATCCCGACCAACTATCCAGCTAATTTGCTACTTCGGTCTAATGAAGACACAAATTAGCTGGATAGTTTGCGATCGGGATAGTTCAAATAGCTGGATATTTGGCAATCTCTAGATAGTGAGGACAGGCCTACTAAGACATTCTATCCCATACAACCATAACAAATAATATATATGTGTTCAAGGTAAAACATACAGGTAAATCAAGGCATCAATTCAAGGCATCAATCTAAATTACTAATAGGTTGCTAGGTAAGGACCGCTTCCAACAAACTTAGGATGTTGCCAAGAGTAACATGTTACAAACATGCTAAGCATATTTATGAAAACGTTAGGTTTCTGTCCCTCCAATTTTTTAAATGCTTAAAGGTATTACAAATTTTTGGGAAATTTTGAAAATTGGCTGGATAGTAATTCTTTACAATTTTGAAACATTTGGATGCCCCTATTGATGTATTATAAACACTAGAAAAATTAGCCCCTATAACTCTTCTGCTTTCAAGATAAATTGAATATCAAAATTTACCGGTGCTCCCGGTGACCCGATATAATGTCAGACTTCATGTACAGATAAGATTCACAAATATGTTACAAAGAATTAATGTATTATTTTCTTGTTCCCCCTCTTTTTCTGAATTCCTTTTATTTTATCTTTACTTCTTCTTTTCCCCGTCCTTTTCTTTCACTTTCATTTCTTTACTCTTCTTTCACTTTCATTTCTTTACTCTTCTTTCACTTTCATTTCTTTACTCCTCCCTCTCATCTGCTCTCCCACTTTTCTCTTCACTCTTCTTTTTTTCACCGTTACAGTGACCACGGAGCAAGGGGGATTCTTAGAGGCGCTGAAGAACAAGCCGGCCAGATATCCTTTTCCCATCTTCCTCACACCATTAGGCAGATATCCTTTAGCCCATCTACCATCCATGTGTGTCCATCTGTTTGTTTTTTTGTTTTGTTTTTCATGGAGCAGTCTAGAGCAGTCTCCGAATTTTAAAATAATTAAAGCTTAGTTCTGGTTATACAATATCATCATGGACAAAACTAGGAGCAGTTGGGAGGTGTGTGTGTGTGTGTGGGGGGGGGGTATCTAGTAATAGATTTAATGTATAGTGGATGGAAAATGATCGAATGATGATAGATTATTACTGGAAACCGCTTGCAAGATAGGTGCATGCTTCAGCCATCCATGTGTATCTGTATTTTTGTTTCATTCCAGTGCTATCTCTGAATTTGTGTTTTTCACATTTTATTATTGGGGGGGGGGGAGCATTTTTTTAAGGGGTTTTCAGCATTTGCCTTTTTGATCAAACATTTTTTGGCCTCCCGCCCCCCCCCCCCCTTTTTTTTTTTAAATATATTTTTTAATGTGGATGAACATTCTCCTTATTGTATGTTCTCTATAGAGAAGAGGAGAAGGCATTTGTTTTCTAACCCTGCAGTGTTTGTGCACATAATTATTCCACATTTCTATCCTCCCCTCCTCCCCACCCCCTTTCCCTGCCTCTTGCTTGTTTTGATATAATGCTGTACGTGCTCTGCTAGCTATAGATTATTCCATCCTATCTTCATCTGTCCAGCTGTTTGGATCAAGATAGAATTAGAGAGAGTACACTGTATAATCTGACATTGAATCGTCTCCAGTCCCACACACTGACATCCATGAAGAGAGTAGGCATGTAATCGATGAGGGCTGAAGACTCTCGACTGATTTACGACCATTCATTATCGCTGAGCTAAGGTTATTCCTTTAAGGGACCCCAAATAATGCCATGATATTTATCATCATTTGTTTTGTTCAGACATTTAGAATGGTATGACTTTTTGAACTCCGTTTCTGCTTTAGTTGGTTAAGTCATGCCAATGGAAAATATTATATTTCAGCCTTTCATGGCCCTCAAGAATTACTTTGAAGAGGGATGTGGGGAGATTGGCAAATACACATAAAAGTGTAAACACCATAGTATACACGTACATGTACCTCATACCAGTATACTTACACATTTATTCAGTTAGATATATTATTTGATAAATTATTCTTTTTCGTAGAACATTTGTATAATATCTGCATTTAAAAGGGATACAATGTACATCTGTACAGTTATCAAAATATAAATATTTCACAATTTTTGTCAAAAATATGGAGTAAATATAGGGAAAAGTTGTAAATTTAGAAAGAATTTTCCCCGGTTTACATGTACATGTATCATTTTGGGTTGAAAATTGTGAATTTTGTATTTAAATAATAAAAGAAACCTTTTATTATTTTCAAATGCTGCGTAGCTACATGTACAGTTAAATGCATCTGATATTTTGTATGCTAAACAAAAAATAATGTTTGAATTTTGAGATGATTGATGTATTGTTTCCTTGACTACCTTGTACTATCGTGGAGGCGTTGGTCTGTTTTATCTCGATCTGGTCCGTTCTAGGATTGGCAGGCTTTCACACGTATCTTATCGCAGCTGGTATCACAACAAATGAAGATGTGAGTATGAATACCTGTGTGTGTGTGGTTATCATTTGTATCATCATTATTTTTTAAACTTAATTATTTGCATTTTCATCATCATCATTTACTTCTACCGTTATCAATTTTACCATCATCATTTACTTCTACCGTTATCAATTTTACCATCATCACTATCATTGTCACTGTCATCATGACAACCACCATTTTCATCATCTTCATCGTCAACCCCGCCCCCACCACCATCATCTTTACCTTTGCTGTTTTCGATATTAGGGTTATCAATATTAGAATCATCACAAGCATCTTGACCACCAACACCATCATCAGCAGCAGCATCCATCATCATTACCTTTACCATTATAAATTTAAAGAGAAGGTTGAGTTCTGGGAAGAGGTGAAAAATAATTTGTGAGCATTGTCATTCTTATTATGCAAGTGTGGAAGAACATCAGATAAGACATGTTCCCTGAAAAGCATGGCTCTTCAAATGCCTTCATAATCTAAATATGTCATGTAACATCGTAAAAATCCAGGGTAGGATTTTTTACGCCACATGTTCGTGTAGTCCCATATACATCTTTCTGTGTACAGTGTTTGTAATTTTACCAAGACTTGGCCAAATTTCTTATCATTTTGATGATTCCAGAATCTTGCAATACACACAAATTCTTATATGCTAGATGATCAACCTTTTCTGGTCGATTCCACACCATTTCTTTCACAATGCAATCGCATGACCAGAACTCAACTTCATCTTTAAGCATCCATCATCACTATCATCTTCATCAACCTCATCAGCAGCCGCCTCACCACCATCATAAACACCATTATCATCATCATCATTGTCATTGTCATTATTATCATTAGTATCACTATTATCATTATCCATTGTCATTATTATATCAGTTTGATAATCATCACCATTAAATGTCATCATCATTGCTAATATTATCAACATCACTATTAATAAGCAACATCACAACAGTCATTTACATTCTTTGCATTTAAACTGTCCTTCAAATCAAGATCTTCATTATCTTACTCTCCATCATCCTTCAGCATTTTTTTCTTTATCATCATTATTATGTACATTACACATTTTTGGTGTCATCATCTTTATCCTCACCATCACCACCACAATTTTCAATGATCAGCATCGCTGTCATAAGATTGTCTTTTTTTTACAGTAAAATATGCAGTAAATAACAATGTTTTTAGCATTAAAAATAGAAACTGTACGAAACAAGGCTGCATGGCATTACCGAAGGATGCGTATTAAGTTTCACACATGTACACTGGGACTCTCCTACTCCATAAATATAGAAAAACACATCATAATTGTATGTCTTCTTCCTCATCAAAGAAGCTCTAAATCAGTCACGATTTCTATGCCTGAGGTCAGTGAGGTGTCTGTCACACGGCCAAACCGCCTTCACACACCGACTCCCATACTAACCAACTCTTGGCCGTTTGGGGCAGTTTTATGTTGTGATTGGTCTGTAGTCTGTCAGCGGACGGTCTCATTGGTGTGACTAAGGCTATGATACATGTACATGTACATCTTCTTTTGTCGTGACAGAGAAGCCATATATTATTTGGCATCCTACTCTTGCCAACAAAATATAACGAAATTGAGGCTAATATTTTGTAAAACAATTCAATATGAATTGTTTTCATCACAGATGTGGCTATGCTAATTTAAAAATTTTGTTATTCATTTTTCTGTAAAACTAAAAACATTGCATTGTCTGAAACATTTGTTATTCTTGAACAAATCTAAAATTAAGTCATTATTAACATAATGTATATCCTATGTATTGTTATTGTATGGTTGAAATCAAACAACGTTCTCCTTCAGTTGTGCTTTGCAATTCCACTCAGACTTTATTTGTGATTAGTTGTATTAAGTTCTGTGATTTTTCTTTTCCATTTTTCTTTTTGTCTCCAGATAAAAGGTGCGTGGTCCAAGAAACATGACCAAGATGCCTTTAATCCCTACAGCAATGGGTCTGCTGTGTCAAACTTCTGCTCCACGTTATGTGGGCCAAATACTCCAAGGTAAGCCCTCAAAACTGATGCACCTGGGCATGGACGAGTGGGAGGAACTCTAATGGTTTCTCCTGGACAACAATCCTCAGACAACAACTTACCATTCATTGAAAAAATCATGATGGCTAATGTTGTAGAGCAGTGGTCTCGTAACTGAGAGGTCCTGAGTTCGAAATCACTTTGATGCACTATTATAGTGCCCTTTGACCCTCGTTACCTAATCCTCTATTACCAGGACCTTTTGCGAGGACTTAAAGCCGTAGGTTCCCTTCTTGCTTACTTACATGTACATGTGCAACCATGCTTTCTTAACAGTTGGGTAAATAAAAAATAAAAACCTTCCAACCAAACCAATGAAACAAGAATTTCTTGTAAAATAACAAAATAATGAATCCATTTCACATTTTTTTCTCTTATTTTTCACCCCTTAGTTTAATAGACAGGAGAGGTATTGTGACGGAAGAATACACCAAGACTCTATGCCAGAGCAGCCACATGTCCCCAGCCCAGCCTTACATTCCAGTACAGAACTCCACAATCGATGGCGCTACCTATCCAAGGGTAAGAGTGACCTTTGACCCTGTCCATCACCCAGCATTGAATGTCATTGTTAAAATGAACACTTGGGTTCGTAAGTCCACAATACTCAGAGACAAGTATAAATTTCTTGTGACAAAAATGATAAATTCAGGTCACTGGAACAGGGGATGGTTTAAAAAAAGTTCTTTTCAGGTTTGAATGAAGGATAAAAGCTAGGTACAAGAAAAGACTGCAGAATTACATATACATGTAGCCATGTCAGATAGGAACTTATACAAATGTACATGAAGTTTGCAGCAGACAGTCAACCTTGCTTTGATTAGCAATTACCAAATATAGAAAGACCATCGGAGACTACGTTTTTTGTTTGAAATTATCGTCCCATTATAACATGTTCAAGGAAACCCGCATTGAAGCACCACCTGCCCATAAGGACTGCTTTTAGCATTCCCTGTAGGTGGTCATTGTACAGGTTTCACTGTATATTATTTTCTTTCATTTTTAAAATGAAATATTTGTGCTTGAACATTATTCTGTTCTACACACATTTGATTGCATAAATGTGGCTATTTGACCAATAAGCTCACTTTACTAGCAGTCCATGTGAAGTTGTGTTGCACTGGGTATACTTTATTTGTAGCACATACATGATTGTGTAATCTAGTTATGTCATTTATATGTACAATTCCCCTATCATAAAGTAAAAATGAGTCCACATCCTTTTTGTTTGTATTACATGTACAATGTGAATTGCTAATCCCCTTTTTGATGTAGTGAATCCTATGGACCTCATCCAATTGTTCATGTACATATGAATGTAGGTGTAATGTTGGGTGTGAGGTAATAATCTCATATGCTTTAGTACCACTAGTACGACTGAAAACTGAGCTTACAACCCTCAATCATTTATGTAGTACTTGAAATTCAGCATTTATTAGCCATTAATTTGTTTTTCCCTGGTAAAAGTTTACAAATCAATTTACATAAAGAAATAATTATAATCAAAGATAGATACTTTCGTAAATGTGCTTGTGGGTACACCTAGAGGTGTTGTGGTCGAGTGGATACGTCGCCGGACTGTCGATCACAAGGTCCGCAGTTTGAGTCCCGCCGCCGCACTAATGTCCTTGGCAAGACATTGATCTACATTTGCCACACTCCACCCAGGTGAAGTAAATGGGTACCTGGTAGGAATTTATTCCTTGAAATGCTAGAGCGCCGTATGGCAGCCGTGCTAAAGCCAGGGTAATAATCGGGAGCGCCAGGAGGGTCAAATCTGACTGACATGAGCGCTATACAAGAACCCACTATTATTTTTATTAACACTATACACGAGTCTGTACACATTATTTACCACTCCATACCCCCCAAATTAAAACAATATAGGCAAGTGATTTGTGCGTGTAGACCCCAATAATTTATTTTTTAACAGGTTTGTTCATGATATCCTCTGTGTGGAGCCAGGAGGCCGTTAACTGACTCTATTTTAGACAGAGTTAATGCCCTTCTGGCTCCAAACAGACGATGTACCCTTGGTATGCTAACCTGCACTTTGCATGAGTAGGTAGATAAATTGGAATGATGCCATGCAAGAACTGACCCAAGAAATGCCACTTACATGAACATGTAACTTGCTTCACATTGAAGAAAAAGAATGGGGAAAGAATTTACATTTACCGGTAGTTTAGGTTATATTTCTGTGGGATTTGTATCATTTGGTATTAAGATAGTTATTTAATGCTGCCATATTTTGATACATCATTTTATAATTTAAGACATAGAATGATTTGTATCACATCTTTTATGTAGCTTTAAATCAATGTGCAGAGAATCAGGATCAATTATTTGTTTGAAGGTGCTACTTGACAATGATACAGAATAAGGTTAAAGTAGTATGGATCACAAGTTAACCAAAGACCAACTTTTAAAAAGGAGAAATTTGAGAAATTCTCCCACACCAAGGAATTTGTAAATATCTGCTGCAAGTTTGCACCCAAGAATTTTCCAAAATGAACATACATGATAAATGCAATTATATCTTACAGCACAATTAAATAGTCTATGAAACATTAAAAAGTGAAGATTTTGCATGAAACTCCCTTTTCATTTTCATCTCACTTATACATGCACAGTTGAACTTTACATGAGACCAGTAGCAATTGTTATTAATAGTACCATTATATGAAGAGTTTAATTCCAAAAGGAGCTAAATCGATAGGGTTACCAGATTTTGTACAGGCATCTATGGAAAAATGATATTAGAAGGTGCATCTTTTCATAATTACTCCCAAAATTTAGGTAAATAATTTTGTTGAAAGACAGGTACTTAAGTGAACAATGTTCTGATATCAATAACTCAATTTTCATCAAAAGTGGATTTAGCTCCTTTTGGAATTAAGCTCTTCATATGTACACTGTATATGAGCAAAAAGGTCAAGTTTGGCAGTCCAATGTATGTTCCATTGGTCGACCAGAGCCAGTAAAGAATTAAACAATTTAATGTCTTGTTCATTATACCATCATGTCATGTGTAGTAGTCATTCCCAGATCCTAACCCGTTGATTTTTCCCCTCTTTTGTTTGCATTATTTTTTTCTGTACCTTTAGCAACCCATGCCTGCAAACTCAGAATCCACCAATGAAAAGCTGCCTACTGTAGCCTTTAACAGCCACTGACCAATCAGATACCCCGTTCCTTACCAGCATCTTATGTTCCAGTATGTATGTTTTTCCCCCCATTTGTGTATGATGACTTTGTATTGTTCTGCAGGAGGGGGCTATGTCCAATTGAATGTTCTGTTTAAGTGGAGCCGGAAGGGCATACACTCATATAATTTAACACAGAGGTAACACCCTTCTGGCTCCAAACAGATGACATGTCCTGTAATTCTTATAAAGCCCTGTTTGAGTCATGTTTGCTGTCCACGTGGTATGGAATATATTGGCGTGCTAAGAAAAACAAATTAAACATTTCATGAAACCGTCATAAGTACAAGTTCAGCAACTTCCCACTGAAATGCCTTTCAGAGATGCCAACCAGTACGATTAAATCGTATTTAGTACGATAATATGATATCACCTCTTAAAATACGATTTTTCGACAACAACAACAAAATTTTAATGCAAGAGCAAACATTTTACTTGACCGTACTTACCAGTAAAACATTTTTCTGAAATTTTACTGGCCTGGGGCCAACAGGCCAGTGGTAGTGTCGAGATTTCGTCATAATCTGATTTTTTTCTTTTTTAGGATACTCAGTCTGTTTTTTTTTTGTGTGTCAAGAGGTTGGCATCTCTGTCTATTAATTGTAATACACATGTTTTAATGGGATGTTGGAGATTTTGTACTCGTGATCGTTCGTGAAATGCTGCCCAGAAGATTGTGCATCTGACGCTTTTAGGGAAGCAAGATTTCATATTGTGTTGTCCACTTACGATCCCATTGTATCCCAGCTTTCACGGCACATTTCTTTGCACGCCAAGCTAACTCTCACACATAATGAATGGTAGGCATGATGCAAATCAAGCTCACTTTGAATTACAGAAAGGCATCTTAATGGGATCAAAAAGTGAATTGCAAGCTTTGTGCAGTATGTACTTCAAGTTTATCGAGTGCACTATGAATTACCATTTTGTCAAAAACGCTCATTTCCATAATCATATTTTGTCTGTACTGAGTTTCTCTTCTCTCGTTTGGTCAAATTATTTATCGTTCATTTGAATTTGAATTTGGATTCTTTCAGTGTAACCGGCTTAAAAACACCCCAAAATGCTATTCAAATTGTTAAGGATTAAAGAGCAAAAAGGAGAAAAACTATTTCATATCCAGCCCCACGTGGAAGTTAATTTGGAGGTAATCAGTGCACTCCACATTACACTTGTCAAAGTTTGCAGAACTAGGGATGTGTTTTTTTTTCAAGACCTTTTCTGTCGAATAGAACCTGACATACTGGTGTATGTGATGTCAAAGATACAGGTATAAAATATTTGGTCAGTTCAGGGCCAGAAGGGTGTTCACTCTGTGATGAGTTAATGCCTTTCTTGCTGCAAACAGGTACATTATTCGTCAGCATAATTAAAACACTTCATACATTGTATACCATTTTGATAGACCCCCCCAACTCAAACCATTAGGAATCATTCCCTATGAATGGACATAGCCCAACCCTGCAACATTGCTTGTAAATTAAAGCTCATGTAAGATGTTTATGATTTGTAGAGATCCTGTGCATTGTGTCTTGCTAAGTTCATCCATGCACATGTATCTGCATGGGAGTGAGATTGCATAACAAGTGGTATGACTTGTCTGAGAATAATATACACATTTAATATGGATGATTAGAATCTTGAAATAAAAAATTGATGATCTCTAAAATGTTCAGAGTATATAGACAGAATTCATGATTGTTTTTAATAATCATTGTTACATTGCAAGAGCTTGTAAATCAAATTTCCAGGGAGTGAAGAGTGAGCATTAGTACATGTACAGGTATTATAAATATCAAACTGCGCAGTATACAGTGGAACGTATCAGGGAAATGCCTTGCTTAATTGAAACTTTTTGATCAAGGCTTTACCCCCCAAAAAAGAAAAAGAAGTAGAACTGTCAAAATGAGTTGCTTAAAACATTTTTTGAGGTTCCACTGCATTTGAATTCTGATTCTCCAGCCATTTTTTAGTAATGAATATTGTTTTCACCATTGCCTGCAGCAAGCAATACCTCGTTCCAGCCTTACAACCAGCTCATCTTCCGATAGTAGCACCTACGAGAGCTGTTCAGAGGACCGTCCCTTCTCCAGGCATCATCCCAGGCCGGCTCATCCAGTCTCCTTCCTCCAGCTCTCCGATCTTTCCACCACCTCCTCCATACAGAGCAATAAAGACTCCATGGTATCCCCGACGAACAGCAACGCCTCCACGTTGCGCTTCTCCGCCGCGCTCAACTCAGTCAACTCCACGTCGTCGCCCACGCAGCAGCAGCAGCACGAGATGCAGCCCCTGCTACCGGCCGGTCACGGCGAGGAGCAGTGCGATACGAGACCAGAGGACGCCGCAGGTTCCCCACAACCGTCTCCCGGGGTGACGACGTCTAGCCATGATGCCTTCCAGACTCCCAGTCAATGTGGGATCTTGAAGTTGAGTTCGGTATAGCACCTTCTGGTTTCAATTCGTGTTTGGTTTGGTGTTTAGCAGGACTACCGTGCCATGGCTCAGAGTAGTTGAACACCGAGTACATGTAAGGCTAACACCAAGGATTCTAGGCTTTCATCATCTTTGCAGCTTAGAAAAAGTTAACTTCAATTGATTACCAATTGTATGTATGCGGACATCAACACAAATGCTAACACATTGTGTAAACCTGTGTTAAGCCGGTGGTAGAGAGAGAGAGAGAGAGAGAATTCTTTGGTCACCAGGTCAATGGGTTAACATGTAGTTATCATCGATTACCTAGGTAGTTAAAGTCCCACTGTACTACTTGTAGCTACTTGCTCCCTCTATATAGAAAGCAATGCCTAATCGGTGACCATTGGTCCCCCATGATCCTCTTTTTCTTATGTTAATTGAGAGCTCATTTGATGAGATAGCCACCTGTCCTGACAAACCTGGGTGGTCTAATCCCTCCTGGCCAAACTAGTACAGATGGCCTTTAAGAGTCACAACTATAAACAGCCAACTTTTCACCATTCTTTGCACAGATGCCATTCCATCACGACCTTCATGTATTGGATGAAGTATTCTATCCGTTTCTTTTTTGTTTCCATTAAAAAATGGTCAGTTGTCAGCACAACTTCTACAATGTCAGAAGTTCTTTTGGGTTTCACTTTTATTCTAGATATACAACCAAACCAAGCACATCAATGAAGATCTGATTATTGTCAGTAAATTTTTGCAAGTGTTAAATCATACAGAGAAACAAGCTAGCACTGACACCAAACTCGTATCCTTTACTTGAAATACCACAAAGTGCTTTATCTTCTGCCAAAGCAGTTCAAATCAAAAGTATTAAGCCACTACACTCAAGCTAAAAGCAAAGTACACCTGTATATCGTCGCCTGGCTGGCAGAAGGGAGTTAGCTTGAATTTCAGGTAAAACATGAAGCGTTAAGCAGAAGGGCGTTAGCACTAAATCCCCTTAAACTTTTTAAAAAACTGACTTATTTCCGAGAGAAAAAATTGCGGCTTCTACTATAACATTTCAATTAGTCTTTTAAGTTTTAAACCAATTTTCAGGACGGAAAGCAGTTTAAATATAAAACAAAAAAGTAGTTTTTGAGTCGCTAACGCCCTTCTGCCAGCCGGCCGACGATATGTGCAAACCCATTATTCGTAACTCCCATACTGCTGCGGTCGCATTGTCATGAAAAACCTTCTTGTGTCACTTAATACTAGCGTTTATGTGAAAGTCTAACCGCAGCATTATTGTGAATAATTCTTCTTTGTTTCCAATCCAATTCCTGGATAGCGCGCTATGATAGGCAAGTACATGTTTACATTTACTAAGCCTTGAACTCTGCCTAGGTCATTCCAACTTGGGATTGCAACCTATGCTATATACATGGCACATATAATTTAACTGGATTATGCTCTTAATGATAAAGCATGTTTTGTTTGGGAACAAAATGGTTTATAACTAGAAAGTACTGAGCTAAATAATGTACATTAATATTTCAAAAATGTGTGTCCTTAATATGTACTTTCAAAGAAGAATAATTTCATGTAAATATGAGAAATTTTTAAGGTTTACATTTATATATAGATGTGTATATTATATACATAGGACTAGATAACAAACTATTTTGTATACAAGAGAAAGATAAACAGAATTTACTTTTTTTTAAATCAGGATTGTTGTATCTGCACTTTTTAGAAAATGTTTTCTGTCAAACATTGTGTAATTATGATGTCATATTCGAGTAATGTAAAAAGTTGAAGCTTTCAGATTTCATAGGGACATTTTATTTGTTTCAAGCTGGGGAAAATATCATGCACCATTTTTTGTGTGCATATATTGTAATAAATTTGCACATGAAATGGTTTAATCACGTGGGTCTGAAAAGTGAATGAGAAAAATGTGTAACTCTAGCACATATGTAATGGACGTGCTGCAAGAACAAGGCAAACAGAACATTTTCTGGGGTCATTGGGGTGTATTTCCTATTATCAGATTTTAAATTAAGTACAAGAGGAAATTATGTTATAAAGAATGAAGTGATATCTGTCTCAACTATGTATGCATGGGCTACCTACCGGTATTCTTCAAACTATGATAGATATGTAAAAATCAATCAGTATTTCACATTTAGAAGTTTGATTACGGTAACTTTTATGTTACTTCGACAGGAAAAGTTGCTATTGGTGAACCACCATGCAGGTACCATGCACATCATGACCAAAAATATTTTTGATTTCAAAAATATTGAATTTAATTATGTGTATCTACAATTTTCATTTTTGAAAAATATGCCACCAGTTTTGTTTTTTTCTTTCACAATCTTGGTGGTATCTGTGACATTTTTTGTTGATTTTGCATCATAGCCACCTGTAGATCATCTGAAGAGTCAGAAAACAAGCACTGTGATTGATTTTAACTTTATTGCTCTGCTAATGAGCAAAAGTAGTATTTATTGTGTAGAGAAGTAATGTTTTGATCTTATGTGTATATATTGTTTCTTCTTTTTAAAAGTAGGACAAAGGATATGTGTTTATACTCCAGCCTGATTTAGAAAGAAAGTTAAGCTCACCACACTTTGTAAAGTCTGACTATGATCCAATTTTCAGAGAAACCACATGTGGAAATTGAACGAACACAGACTGCCTATTGCGTTTCGAAATCCTGATATGTATACCGGTAATGACAATCAAAATGTAAACAGATTGTTAAGGTTGTGGTTGGCTTTACAAGAAGAAAGTTGAAAAAAATCAGGGGCCGTATTCAATTCAAGATGCACATGAATCCAGTATTTTTGTTTAGCAAGGCAAAACACTCACCGATAAGCATCGGGACGTAACATGGTCACTAAAAAATATGGTGCAACATGTCACATTAAATGCACACCGAGTTCATTAGGCGCAGTGTTATGATAACTGCCTAAGAAAACCATATGCCTGCCAATTAAAGGACTCTGGAGGGGGAAAAATGGCTTAACCCGTTGATTACTGAATTGTATAGGTCCCATAGGCTTAACATAGGGACCACCAGGTTCCCGTAAGCAAAGGGTTAAGTTTGCTAGGGAGCTGTCTTAAACTTCAGGTAAAATATTAAGCCCGAAGCGAATACCAAATTTGGCCAGCCGAAACCGAGTGAAATATTCGTGATTAAATACTGGATGTCAAGGGCATCAACTTTATAACTTCCTTCTGGTTCTGAAACCATCAACTTCTGAATTGTCTAAGTCCTGTACACTTTAATAACAAAGGAACCACCTGGCTTCCATAGGCAATGAGTTAAACAAATAATGGCTGTTGTCGGTATGTCCTGATAATTTGTTCACAGCATGATTGTTTCTTTTTTGTTGGTTTTTCATCATGTTAGTTCTCCACACATTTAATCATGTTTAAAGTTTAATGTTTCGAAATCTGTAAGTTAGGTTCACACACCGTCACAAAAGTTCAATTTTTTTGGAGATTAGCAAATCTATACATTTTTGAAATTGTCAGAACATGGAAAGAAAAAAAATGATGTTGGCATTTGCACAAAACACCGGCATAGCAGCCATTTATAAATTCAAATTGTCTGCTTTGCTCAATAAGTATTGAATAATTTTTGAGATTCTTTTTAATTGAACCCCATTTTACCATGCATGTGGCATCCTATAAAAAGTAAGATGATACCACAATTAATGGGTTTTCTAATGGTGTGCAAAACAATTTTGTTTCTAAATTGCTATTTTGTACCATTTTTTTCTAGAAATATGTATTGCTTCAAAGTATCCAAAATTCCATTTCAATATTACCTTCAGGCTTTGTGATAACTGTATTTTGCACTCCAGGACGTGTAGATACTGGATGATGTAGTAGAGTCAAAGTGTGTAGACCCCGCTGATATTTTTCGGGGACAAAGGTTTTTAAGTGTTTTTGAGTTGTTTGGAGGTCAATGATTAAAATTAGCTTGGGTAGTCCCCTCCTAACCCCCGGCAACTCTTGTAGGGGTCAAAATAAGGTCAAAATGGGGTCAATAGGGGGTCAATTTTTTTAAATGCCCTGATTATGTTAAAAGACATGTCAAACTGTTTGTCTCGTCATACTGAACAAAAAAGTGTGCATGATCATATACCTCTGACCTCCCGTTAAGAAGTTGTGGCCGGAAAAGTCAAAAGGTCAACGAACTTTCATTTGAGGGCAAAATACACTAAAAGTGTTAGGATCGATCAATTTTCATGTTTTTTGTGTCTATTTATATGTATTTTGATTTAGAAATTTGAATGAGACAATTTCTACTTAAGAAGACCGTATTCAAAAGATATAAGGGGTCAAAATAAGGTCATTTGGGGTCAAATGAGCTCCTTTGGGATCAAAATACACTAACAGACTTAGGAGTTATTTGTGTCAAATTATGTGTAAATTGATGAATAATAGTTTATGATTTTTTTTTTTTTTTTTAAATTTAGAAAACCATATTCAATTGATGTAAGGAGTCATTATAAGGCCAAAATGGGGTCATTTGGGGTAAAAAATGTTTAATTGACCTAAATTGTGGTGTAATGCGCTCTCACACTGAATGAGAAAGAGCAGTTTCATTCTAGGGTTAAAATACGATAGGAGTGACAACAAAGCCATGTTCATTTTTTTTAAGTGTCACAATGCAGTTTACATATAATTTAACTGGTGGCCACAGTGTCAAATTAGCTTGATTGTTTTTATTTGCCCATCAGTTGCATACACAACCCTGCGCTCTCTTACTAGGTATGGTAAATGTCTTAATTTGTTGCAACATACCTTTAAGGACGGATAGATGTGACAAATCAGAGGTTCTACGCATAGTCGGAATCTTCAGAGACAGAGTCTTGATCATTATCGATATCCGAATCGGAGTCAGACTGTGGAGATTGGTAATCTGCTGGTATTAGGTTGGTCAAACGTGTAGGCAATGCAGGCTTGGTGTATCGAAGTGGGATGCAGTTGCCATCTTTCATGTGCCATCCATGGTGGAGAGGTGATGGAGGAGCATCTGGACTCCTGAAGTTCAGGAAGATGTATGCCTGATAGTTGGCTCGTCTGACCTTCATCTGATGTGAGTCGCAATCAGGTGGCATTCTCTGTGTTGCTTTTTTCTTCATACTCTCCCACTTCTTTGCTCTTGCCTCTGCTAAACTTGTACTAGTTTTGTCTTTGTAGATGAACTTAATTGTGAATTGCTCCATGTCGATGTGGGTGTCTTCTGATACAGGCAGCTGTTTCCCAAGTCCTTGGAGCAAACTCCTTCCTTCCTCTGACTTCATTGCCGATTCAAAGATGGATGGTTTGCCATGGCC